TTATACTTTACCAGAGTGCTCAAGTCCTATTCATATATCAATTAACCAGCCTAATGTGTGTAATAAATCTCTGATTTCTTTCGATTTGACCTCCCTGTGCACACAGGTTCCGTTTCGTGAAACCCTAAACATATGTCAACACAATGATCTGCTCCCCTTACCAAACTTTGAATTTAAGCCACTTATCTTATTCTGTACAAGGAATATACTATTCCAGTTCAACAACAAAATATATTGCAAAGCTGATTGAATGGCAACAGTTAGTTTATTGGGTGCTATATTCGCAAATATTTTGTGGTCATTCTTGAACAGACGAATCTTACGTGTGCATCTGATCAAACAATAGTCTACTACAAATACACTGCTAACACATTCATCGTATACAGTAATCTGAGTAGTGCTTCTTATCTGTTTGGGTTATTTAACAATGAACATGAAGACATCACTTTCACAAGTGAACAAAATGTTGGTGATAGTGTCAACTTTCTGGATATTGGCTTACAGAGAAGAAAAGACGGGACACTCGTAAGGTTGATTTACCGCAAGGACACATGTCTTGGTCTCTACAGAGGCAAAATGAATATTTTCAACAGATATATTAGATAGTGAACTTATGTTAACTGAAAAATGCCTGAATTAAAAAGGCTACCAATTAAGTTCTCATCAACCACTAAGGTAAAAAATAATGTAAGAATCCAGATATAACTACAGTCAGCAAGGAACTGAATTCCGTTCAACTTCATTTCAAAAGTGGTACTATTATGAGAATGATAAGTAAATGTTTAAGTACAACACTAAACAGAAAGTACTCTGCAGCAAAACTAGTCTCTGTATTCCGAGTATCCTGCTCGTTGGCAAAGTCAAAAACTAGCAAGCACCCTTCAAATGTTACGTCCAACTGTGTATGCCGATTCACGTGTAGCTGCTACAGCACTTACATTAGCAGAACAGAAAGAAAGGTCTATGTCAGATTAATTAAAAGTGTACTAAACAGCCTTCCATTAAAGGAACCGATTAATTTAAATTCATCAGTTATTAAACACGTGATAGACACAGGACATTGAGTAGACACATTAGGAGTACTCAAAGTAATTAGCAGACAAAACAACCTAAGTTTCCTTCGGTATTTTGAAGCTATCTTATTAAAAAGACTGAAACCTGGCTAATGTGTTCAAAATGAATCCATCGTGGGACTTCAGTCACCCCGGTAACACTCTCCTTAGTAACTCTCTGTCCTCTGATTTCACTACTATGTTCACCTCCCCCGTTTTTTGCTTCACCTGGTTATTGATCCTTTGAATTCTAGTCATTGTATTACTTCACCATTTTTACATTAAACTTCGCACACACCAAATTTTGGTTTGACTTGATTCTACTCACCGTATTTTATTCGGATTACACAATTATCACTGCGCTATCACAATCTTGACAACAGATTGTTTATTATTCACGAGGAACTTCACTCTTATAAAAATATATGCATACTACTAATTTAAGATAACATTATCATACTTATGTTTTGTTTTGCCACTGCTTTCTGACAACAATCCTTACTGGAGGACTGATTCGTTGTAACTTGTTTCGTGAAATGCTACAGGTTGTACACAGCTGACGCAAACCGGTGAAATAACATTGATCCACAATATTCTGCACCGAATTTTGTTCCATCTCCGTTCAAATCCATGAAAGGGAATTCGTGTAAGAAAGTTTCAGTGTTTAATGACTCGATATTATTAGTTTGGTGGTGACTATCAGTGGAATACAAGACGCGCGTCTGATTGCCACTGGGACTCATCACCTGAATATAACTGGATTCCTGATTACTGAAGGTATGCTTAATGAGACGGCAACACATGGCTTCAAACGCCAAAGTGTTGCCCATTAGGCGAATAGGCCACAACAGCCACTTCTTGAAGATTTGTTATGATTTGAAATTATTCATACATATTTGTCTCAGTGGGAGCACAAACAGCTAGCAGGCACAACCAGTTGACGGGAGCCGAATACCATAAAACGCGCGTTCTGAATTCCACTGCTATCCGTCAACAACCTATTGATTTCGAGTTGTTAGGCATGACAATATCAAGTATTCATTAAAGAAGCTTGCTTCTGAAATAAGGCTAAGCAACTAAATCCAAATATATCAACAGGAATTTATAAATATGAATAAATTTTTTTAGAGATTTCAGGCTAATAATTGTCAGCGATAATTACGGTAACGATAAAAATAAATGGAAAAGGTTAACGAATGGTGAAGTTATATGGGATAGCTTTGCACTGGCAGGCTACTTCTGATGTATTGAATGGGGATTAAAGGTGAAGTGAAGTCATGGGGTGGAATAGAATTCTAACCAGTAACCTTCAGATGAGTAACCCAGCCATCTACCAGGTAAGTTACAAAACTATTAGCTCTTCATTCAACAAACAGTGCAAATGTTTAAGCTATCCATCAAACAAGTTGGTTTATATTTGTCACAGTCACAATCGGAAAAAAATAATTACTTGGTGAATTATCTATTGATGATCAAAGCTGGATTAGTTACGATTCCGTTACAATAACGATCATTGATTACGATTAATTAATTAATTTTCAACTTCACTCCCGAGATCCCCCCTATAGATATCTTTGAAGATGTTCAATTTCTGTTTATCAGACAAGCCATCGTCATTTTTTCAATAAACTTGGACTTTAGATCCAATTCTCATTCACTTCACCAGCTCTCTTCGAAAGCTTTGATGATGATGATGAAAGGATATTTCATTTCTCAGCTTTATTTCGTGGCTGATTCGGTAGATCTCCAGAGATAGTCATCAGAAGTACCGTGGTATAAATCCCACTGAGATTCTTATCTTCTTAAATTCCAGACATTGAAGATTAAGTGTTTTTAACAAGCTAGAGATTCAAAGAAATATGAAAATCTGATACTCTTTTCCCCTTCTTATCTTCGTCAGTCAATTTTGCATACATGTTAAATTGTATAAATTAAGGCATTGTTAGTTAACCTTAGTCCGTCGGCGGTTCAGCGATAGGATGCTTGACAACCACGCATGTGGTCCGGGTTTGATTTCCTGACGACGCATTCCTAAACCTTGCTCATTTTACTGGCTGATAACAAGTCTGGATAAAAATGAATGTTGACTGTTAGACTAGCAACCACACCCTATGAAAAGAAAACTTCAGTTCTCAGGCGTGAAACAAGAGAATGAAGAAATACGATAAACATTTGATTAAGGCAGTATTAATTTTCCAGTTCCGTGGCTATGAATATGTTTTTTTGTTTGTATACCATCCAAGATACCTAACCAACCTTAAGCTCAGGGGTGAAGCGTAGTTACTTTGTGGCATGATTAGTGATGGTTTAGGAACTTCAAAAAACGAAATAGTCGCGCAATGTCCGACGGTTTTCAAAAATCCAAGAAATTCTTAGGATTTTTCAATAAGAATCTGCTGAGAACACAAGTGTAGGTTTTTTCGTTATCACATTTTAAATCATGATGATTATTTCTTTTAAGTTAACTACCTGTATGGTTGGGTCAGTGGTTCAGCGGTAGAAAATCTCCAACCAAGCAAGCGATATGGGGTTTGAACACCCACCGACGTACTCCTTTACCTCGCTAAGCCAATAGTAAGCCTTGCAGACAGGGAAGGTTGTGCATGAGGCTAGCAGTGTCCATCCCGTAAAACAAGCTTCTGCTGCTGAAAATTCAAAGCTTCAGCTTGAAGCTCTATGTTTCACTGGGAAATCAAAGGAATAAAATAAATATAAAAATTATGAAAAATAAAACAGCATGTCTGGTCAGTTTAGTTTTAATTCATTTCGATTCAAACATGTTACACTACCGAAGTGAACAAATTACTAGAAATTGGACGCGTTATTACCGACACATTTTGCCAAGCATATAGAAGCATTTCAGCTAGTGGGATAACCATTTTTATAGTATGCAATGAAACTATCAGAAACTTCATGCTTCTTAACCTAACAATTCACATCCTCGATCTACAAATCAATTTGCAGTTTGCACAGTTCGAGATGAGATTTCACTATAGTATCCTTCAGAAACCGATATGTGATCCGCTTGGATCAATAAATGGTGATCGAGGAACCAAGCATAAATGTGTAAAACTATATACTACTGACTGACTGAGATGAGTAATTGCTTACGACTTACAACAAACAATACTGCTTGGTCGAAGTGATCTAAACGCTGGACGGCTGTTTTTCTCGTTTTAGGATGAGATCGTCAGTGATGTAACCGGTTTAACTCAGCTCAGATGGCCGCATCAATTCAAACCACACGATTTCTGGTTAATTAGTTGAAGGAACTAGAAACATCACAAGTCAGGTTCGTAATTAGAAAATCAGTTTGCGACTTACACAGTTCAATGTGAAATTTCACCATGGTTTCTTTTGCGAACACTAATGAACCCGAAACGAAACAAGAGAAAGGGCCGTCCGGTATTCAGACGCTTTGATGTGGCTAACAAATGCTATTGGTTGATTTAACTGGTGTACAATTTCTCATCTCAGTGAATCAGTAAAATATAGTTTTATGCATCTACAACCTAATAATATTTGGGTATATTCATATGTTTACATTAGGTTGACTTGATATAACTAAACTGAGTTCTATGCGGTATACAACAGTACTGCTCCATCTATTTGTCTATTTATGCATGAAATAAGAAATTCAGATCAATGTGGTCCTTTTCTACTGAGAAAATATTCACTTTTATACTCTGCTTAGTGTGTAAACTGACATGAACTGAACTATGAGCATGATTTAATCAAATAACGACCAAACTTTCATCGGTTAAGATGTGTACATGAATGTGTGCGCATATTTATGTATGTGTTTTTGTGTGTATGTGTACACGTGTGCATGTAAGTGATCAGCACACATGTTGCGTATATTGATTAAATTATACTAACGTCCGAAATGTATATTAATTAGCCCAATCATTCGAAATAAAATAATTTACTTATTTCTTATTGGTTAGAATACAAGGCAATGAACTATATTCACTTATGATGCAATAGTTCTATGTATCGTGACGTGTTTTGTTATCAGTTATATTACTTTTAAGCTGATAAACGGAAATTTTGATTACTACCAAATGACTACACATTCTTACATAATGCAGCCAGTAAGGAGGTCGTGTTTTTTCATACTACTTTCCTGCAATTAATATTACTACTACGAGCAGATATAAGGAATTAATAATTATTTCTTTAATTAGGGTTTTGCTAAAAACTATTGACTTTTACTCGAATTCACATGGATTTATGCATGATTAGTTAGTTAACCTACAGACAATATTCTTGATTTCAATGAATCTACCTTGTTGTGGACCTTTTAAAATCAGTCCTGAACAGGACAGTGTAAAGAAAGCTGAAGAGAAAGCACGTAAAATATCTGAAGAAATTGATAAACAAATATCCAGACATAAAAAGATGGAAGTCAATTGTTTAAAACTTCTATTATTGGGTGAGTGAAATGTTTTTTTTTTTGAATCATTGGTTTTTTTTAAATATTGTAGTCTAAATGATGCATGCTTTGATCTCCTTAAATCTCATTGATTTTATAGAATTTAAAACACCTAGTCCCTTTAGTATATTCGGATAACGCTATTAAAAGACAGAGTTCATCTTAAATAATGTGAAGTATTTGCTCAATACATTTCGAAAAATCTGATCACACATTTACTTGTTAATTCAATTTACGTAAAAAATGAAGAACTGAAAGGTCAACTAAAGTAAACAAAATAATAGGAGATATAAGAATAAGAAATACAACAATTAACACCATTCTTGGTAATATAATCAGAAAAAGATTATCAAGGTATGTTGACGGTAACAATAGATTATTTTTGTATACACATGGAAAGGAGGCTTAATTTTACGGACTGCTATCACACCAAAGTATTCCTGTACTCGCTGCTGATGGGTTTTATGGATAATCTTGAAAACTGTTTTGTTTGATGGTGACTATTAGTTGAATTCAAGATGTCACACAACTTGGGATTTGTCTGCTGGATGTACCCTAATCCCTCGGAAAGAGGTGTTCCCAATGAAATCTGTACCTATTGTTTTAAAGACCAAAAGATTATCCACTGGGCCACTGTTTTGATACCGGTCGAATGATTCATATCAGTTTTGCGTTCAGCTGCAGACGAGCTTAGTAGCTTGCCACCTGCATCTATCTAGGCTTCACTGCTAAGGTGACTTTATATTTTCCCATTCTCACTTGTGAGGTAACGTTACTCTTCCCCATATAAATATACATATATATATGTTTTCACACACACGTATTAAGCAGCATACATTGTGAGATGTGGAGTAACTGCTTGAGCAATGTTTTTGATTTTTCCAATAATTATAAGATCGACTACGTAGTAAGTTTTACGGATAACAGAGTTTAGCTCCTGTCTTAATATCCTATTGTTTATTTTCTCACTCCGAGGTAATTTGATGTAAACATCTTTCTTTGGAAAAGAGCAGGCTATAAGCACTGAACTTATATGACCACTACACCAGTTCTGTTAAATATCAAACTGTTAAGATATCACCTTCAACTTTTTAAAATTTACCCATTTTGCTTGCACGAGGTATAAAAACAACTAATTCACACTTTGTACACTTCTGTTAACAGTCACCAGGAGAATAATAATAATTTATTCGATAGTCATGTCATGTGAAAAACTTACAAAACGAAGAAAAATCAAATTTCTAATTATTTGACAACAGTGTGAAAGTAATTGAAATTCTCAATGTTATATTACGCGTAGTAGAACATTAAACTTATTTCTAATCAGTAATACTTAAGTATTTGTGTTAAAAGCAATAATTTAATGCACAACAGAGAAAGTTTTGGTCTAGCCAGGTGATTTTCATATTACAATACACATTGATACAATATTACTTGCTGGTTGGCGTGTTGCCTGCATATGGCTCATCTGGTAACAGCACTTTTTATGGGAAGCCGTCATAATACTGTTAAATCCAATCACATTTTACCACTGATGTTAAATGAAGCTTACGGTTAAGTCAGGAGTAAATTTAACATCAAATTATCTCCTAAACTTCTACATATTTTGCATAATTTTCTGTGAAACTATAAAATTACTAAATAGGAAAGACAGCCATCACCCTAGTGACCTCAATGCAAATTCTGTTTACTTGAAAGTGAACAAAGTGACATTTGAATCTGCTGACACGGCCCCATAATTCATGATATTCTAGATAAACTGTGGTTTCATATACTGAAGATCTATACTTGGGTGAGTGAATTTGAAATCCAAGGCTTTTCCTGTTGATGATTTCCAAATGTAATTATCGGACTAGCGAGTTATACTGTTGTTATCGTTTATCTAGATATCAAACGTGTACTAGGCGGATGTTTAAAGATTTTATTGTGAAAGAGACCAGCCACCTATTTATTCTTATGTACGAGTAAAAAGTGAATGTTTACAGTTCTTGAAAGGGTTTAAATTGTTTAATGATGGGATTATTTATGAAGAGGCTAACTGTACATAATTTCAAATAATCCTACGACTAGTTTACACAATTTGACTGAGTTAAATTTACATGATAATGAAGTCTCACCATACTATGCATAGACTTAAAGTTTCTTTAATTAAATACTTGTAAAATGTATGATACTTCTTCTTCTTTTTAAATATCGTTTTTTTTTAAAAAAGTAATATATTAAACAACAGTATAGAGTGAAATACCAAGGTGAATTTCACCTTAAATGAACATCAGTTAGTGAAATAACGAAAACTGTGGAGTACGAGGCAACTAATTCGTGTTAGTGTGTAACTCTTCAGCAGGACTAATTCACACTATTTTCACTTCTTGATATAACTCTACTACTACTTTATTTTATACGTGAGTATCTATCCTATAAGAAGTACGTCAACTTGTATCCAGGTGGTAAGTCGACCTGAAAGTTTAAGTATACTGGTGCTACTTCCTTCCATACTAACTTGTTTATTAAATATATCACACAGTAAAACAGTATTATTATAATAAGCAATACTGTTTCACTGTGTGATATGTCTAATAAACAAATTAATATGGAATTACATACTATCACAGTGCCCAATGTTTACACATATATTAATTAGATTGGTGCTAGGTAACCGACAAGTATCTTTAACCTATTATATCCATTATCCTGTGTGTTAGTAATCACAGTAATCAATGAGAGTAAGACGGTTACGAATCAATGCGCCTACAGTCTGCTGAAGCAAAAACGCGAACACTGTTGTGTCTGAATTACCGCTTATGGTTCAGGAATAATAAACCAATGAAAACACATTGTAAAGTCACTTGTTATGAGAAGATTGTAAAGTATTTTTTGAACTGAAACTGAACAAAGATAGAAACCCCAAGCCGAATATCAAGATACAAACTTCCATCCACATGAACAGTCAAAATTAATACAAAAATTTGCAGGCTAACAATTTGATGTAATGTCAGGTTTATCTAAAAAACTAGTACACTACACTGTGATAAGTTACGAAGGTCCGTATTTTCTGTTTTCAAATATTACAAGAAGAAATTCAAATTTATAATTCAACCAGAGTGTGTTCTCGGTATTATCTGACAGACGGTAGCTTGTAATAGACTCAATCAAATTTAATAAACAAGGAGAAATCATATCTTAAAATAAATTCAGCTTCATCTGTTTTCGAGGATAAATAAATAAAATATAGTCTGTACACTCGCTAGTTCGTACCTTAGACTAAAAATATAGGTATTTGTTTCAGAATAGGACTGGAGTTTGTGTATTTCACTTTTAGAAATTCTATTAATATGCACCAAAATGACAAAGAACGTACTGTGAAGCATAAGACTGTACAAATGCTATTTCCTCGTACGTGAAGAACATCTTAAGTCTATCCAAGAGCTATCACAGAATTATTATGCTGTTCAACCCAGGCAAAATATTAAGCCACATCATCTTATAAAGACTAAAAGGTAGAATACTTCCTCCGAAACAGGCTGCATCCAGAAAACAAAATTCATTCACAAATCAAGTTTCAACACTATGCATCATCATCAAGTAGAGCTTAGAATGCAAGTCAACTCTCTGCCTAAGTTTTATCTATTTAGAAATCTTCCGAGAAGTCGATTGGCAACTGCCTCAACACTATGAGGTGCAATGACGCAGACATTTGTAAACCCCATTCAACAGCTATTTGATGATGAAACACTCCAGGTAATTCACAAGTGAATCCTCACAGACGCTTTTGAAGTGAAAATAGGAATCAGATAAGGATGCTGACCACCACCGGTAGTCTTCCTGACTTTTACGGACTAGATGATATGGCTGAAAACACAAAGTGAGAAGACGGCACACGTTAGACCAACAAAATAACCCTAGAAGATCTGGATTTCGCGGATGATCAATGTTGTGTGTCGCAAAAACTCGAATATATACAAGCTAAAGTCGACAATTATACAGAAGAAGCAGTGAAGACAGGACTTTGGGTGAATATAGAGAAGACAGAGGTGATGAAAACAACCGATCAGAAACAAACACCAGTTACCAATAATGGTGGAAATCAAGGGAAATTGTCTCTTTCTTCCACATGGGCAACATCGTTCCAAATGTAAGTGGCATGGATGAGGGTGTCAACGCAAAGGAGGACCTGCAAGACAGACAGGTGTTCATTACTCTGAAATCAGCGTGAAAATCTACAGCACTTAGCACAAGGAGAAACATGCGAATTTTGTTTAGCACTCATGCCAAGTCATTGCTTCTTTATGATTGGGAGACTTGGCGCATGCATCACCAAAAGCACTTTCAACAGCCTTCTGTAGATTTTCATCAAGAGCTACGTTTACGCGACACTGAAGATCCGATGACCAAGCAACCAAGGTAAGCACCAAGGGACTACAGCAGCAAAACTAGCTAACAATCTACCGCTTAACAAATATAGAGAAGGAAAAGAAGATGAATTGGATATAAGCTGAGTAGGCCTTCAGGTAATATCACATGCCATACAAGCTGTTAAGCAGTGCCCAAACAGAAAGCTAGCGACGATTCGAACATCCTGGAGTGACAATTATAAGTCATCTGAAGAGACAATGATAGCTAGCAGGTGGTGATGGAGGTGATGGAATAGGAATGATAACATATACAACAGGAATTATTCAACATCTTTCCTACATATCTGTAAAAATTTACTAGCCATATCGTAAATTCTAAAGATGAACTGAAATGATAAAAGTTGAATTTCCATGTTGTGTAGATGCCATCAATATGATAATTAATGATAAACTGTGTTCAAAACGTCACGCATAAAATACTTTCGTTTCACCATGTGATACACTCAATAAACAAATTATTCCCAGTATTTGTATGGTTCACATATTGACCTTCTTCAATCAAATTTAACAAACCTAATTTCCGAATTCTTTGAAGTTAATCGTATGAGGCACAGGGCTGTATTTCAAGTAGGAAAATTCGTGTAGTGT